CCCATGAAGGTGCAGGAGTCTGTGGGTAGGCTTGAGCTTGGTATTTACAAAGTGAGGGACCAAGGCTTTTTGTATGAAGGTGCAGGAGTCTGGGGGTAGGCTTGAGCTTGGTATTTACAAAGTGAGGGACCAAGGCTTTTTGTCCCTACAGAAAGCCGAAGCGACAAGGCAAAGAGACTCTTCAGGCATTACACAGTGGGCTCCTACGACAGCTTTGATGCCCCAAGGTAAATGTCCTCACACCCTTAGGTGCCCCACCACTCCCAACTCCCTTCATACCCCACACTTTAGGGCCTCTTTCTCATCTTGGTCAAGTTGAAAGTTGGGAGAAGGCAGGATTCTGTTAATGAGTAGCCCAGTCCCAAATCTGCCCCTGGCTGCTACTGAGACCATCTTGTTTGGGGATACCCAAAACATGGGTTGGGGTGTCTGGGGGCCCCAGGTTCTTGTGTGGGGGCTAGTTAGCAGCCCTGATCTCCTTCCTGTTTCCCTGTCTGTGTGCAGTCCCCATACTGTGGACATATGTACATCCTGTGTGTCATACAGTGTGTGGGGGGTGGAACCAGCAGGACCCCATGGGTGGGGACAGAGAGATGGGCACACTGACACCTGTCCCCTCCTTGGCTGCTGGCTGACTTGCTTCTGAAGTCTGGTCGATGGGATTGACTCAGGGAGGTGAGAGGGGCGGGGTAGGGTGGGAATTGGGCCAGGATGGGGTGCTTGTATATGGGGATGAGAATGAGTATGTGTGCATGACCAAAGTTGAGGAGTCCCAGAGTGTGGACGTGTCTGTCTCTGCCAGTGTGCATGGCGCATCCGAGTGCATGTACAGGCAGAAGGCCCTTTAGTTGAATATCACTGTAAATATACCCTAACCAAGGCTGTATGCTGCAGTCCTCAGTACACATGAGTGCATTTGTGTTGGTTTTGACTGTGTGACTGGCTTTGCACATGGGCAAGCATGGCCAGAGATGTCCATGTGTCTGCTCACACGTGAACAGGTGACAGATCTCTACACATCCTGTGTCACTGTGTATGCTTTGGTGGCCCCAGTGTGTGTATGTCTTCTCTTCTATGACTGGTCTGGAATTCAGAACCTGGAATGTTGTGGGAGGGAAGGGCAGAGGAGGGTAGACTCCAGGGGTACAGGGCTCTGCTGTGGGGCAGGGATGCCACAATCTAGGGTCTGAAAGACGACACCCTCCTCTGCCACCCCATCCCACCCCAATCCAGGGAAAGGTCTCCCTGTTCACAGTATCCTGCCATTAAATGTGTCCAAACCTGTGTCTGTGTTCTGCCAGTGGGGGAAAGGTCTGGGTTGGGGGAGGAAAAAGGAATGATATCATGGGTGGGGACAGGGTGGGGCTGGGGTGCCAGCCACCCTGCACCCCAGGGTCTGAGGCGAATCATCTTGTGCCTGTTCACCTGGTACGTCTCTGGCTCTGGGCACTGGGTGAGTATGGAGGCTCCCTCTACCCCAAGTTAGCCTCTGGGGAGGGGTCTCTCCTGGATCTGAGTCTTGGGGGGATGTTACTTGCTCCAAAGACTGAATGGAAAGGGGTCTCTTTCAACCCTAGTCTCCATCCTCCCTTTCTTATTACTACCCTGTCCTGAAGCCTTGCCGTTTCTTCTGTCCCTTCTCTACCTCTCCTGGGTCTGAGATCCAAGCGCCCCTTCAATAATGCCTTCCCTCTGCGCTACCTGACCCAGCCTGCAGTGACCATGCTTGCTTATGTACCTACCCCGTGGGGTGTGCCACTCTCTCCTCCTGCCTGGGGAGGGGAGTGCCGTGGGGGTCCATAGCTCGGAGAGTTGTGGTGTGTGTGTGTCCCCTCACTACTCTCCGTTTCAGTGGTCTGGGTCCCAGTTTAGTGTCTTGGATCTCTCACCCCACCCCACCCCGCACCCTGCCTTTCCTTACTATGTTGCGGATGAGCTGTGTGTCTGTCTACGCAGAGGGTGGGCTGTTTGCCCTCTCTTAGGGAGGGACCGGCCTCTCTCACTCTTGGGTGTCCCTTGCCCTGAAAGCGTGGTTCTGTCTGCTTGTCCACGCACACCGTGGCGAGGCATCTTATATGATGTGTGGCGCTGC